GGGGAGCTCGTGGACAGGCAGGCCCGGGCTGCAGAGAGCTTTTTATTAAGAGAGCTAGGCAGTATGGCAGCAGGGACCTGGAAGGGAGGTGTGCAGGTGGGTGGCGAAGACTTGTCCCAGTGAGGGCCTGTGAGCGGTGGGAGTTGGGGGCTCCACGTTAGCAGCTGTGACCCTGCTGCTTTTCAGAGTAGTCAGTGGTGTGTGCTGGCAACAAGAACGTCAGTGCACGCAAGAGGTGGAGGGAGAAAGCCTCCCGCCGCTTGCACCCGAGGCAGGGCAGCATGTGACACGGACATGTGAGGAGACCTGGCAGATGGGCTACATGAGTGGAGGAACCCTTGTTTGCCAGCCTTGGGCTCTTATCAAGTAGTAGGGACTTGATCCCTGAGGATCAAAGGAATAATCCCCAATAAACGCATTGCCTTCGAGTGGATTCTGACTCACAGCAACCCCCTATGGCAAAGTGGAAGTGCGCCCCCAGAGTTCCCAAGGCTGGGAAGAGGGGGATCTTGATGGAAGCCGGCTTCCATAAAGGTGCTGTTGGTAGGCTTGATCTGCCAACCGTCTGGTTAGCACCACTGGACACTTCACCACCGCTCTACCAGGGCTCCAAAATCCCAGCCCTTCACTGTGTGTCACATTCCGCCCTGTTCTGAGTGGGTAGCCACTAAGTCAAAGAGTCCGGGGAGGCACGGTGGACAGGCTCGTGGGAGAGCACTGCTGTCGCCAGTGACAAGCCGACGTTAGGGTTAGTTTGTCTCCTCTCCGAAGGGCACCCAACTCTTTGTCGCTTCCCAATCCATTTGACCAGGAAATGTGGCTGCGCCATCCGTCTTTCAGGCTCAAACGTGTCTCTCTTGTTTGGGCAGGTGAAGAGGTGTCGATCGGGGCTGCCGAGGGCACCTTCATGAAGGCCCTGCAAATCCGCAAGAAGAACACCAGCACTGAGCTGACCATTGAGCCCGAGAAAGCATCCTCGGACAAGAGTGCCATCAATCTGTCAAACGTCCTGATCGAGCCGATGGAGTTCAATGACGAGAGCGATGTTATAAGTGCGCTCAACTACATATTGCCGTATTTCTCAGAGGGCAACCTAGCCGATATGGAATCCACACTCTTACCGTTCATCAAACTGCTTTTCTCCAACGTTCAAAACAAAGACAGGGCCCTGGAGAACAACACGAGGGATCTCTCTCGGAAGTCTGTATCCAACGATGCGACTTACCAAAAAAACTTGAGGAAACTCTATTTTCTGGAAAATTTGTTGGATGCGGAAATCCGAGAGAAGATGAGTGAGGCTAGGAAGAAAGAGAAAACCGCCAGACGGATAGCCCCCAGCTTCTTAGGTGCCAAATTTAAACGGCAGGTCTTCCGAAAGAAACTGGAAAGGGCTCAGCCGAGGGACGACCAGCCGGCCAAGATCCAGCGAACAGGCGCCAAGAAAAGACTGCAGAGGACGCACCGAGTACCGTGGGGGCCCAAACGGCACCTCCGCCGCATGGGGAAGCAGAGCATCAAGAGGAAACAGGGGGCCCTGCCATTTTTGGAGGGCGCCCCCAAAGCAAGAAGACCCAGGAAGCCCGCCCCAAGGGAGCTGGACCAGCACTACAAGGTGCGGAGGCCCAGGAAGTTAGGGGGCCACGCCCTCAACACGAAGGCCCTTGTGAAGGGCCACAAGGCCGTCTCTTCGTTCCTGAAACAGCACTCTGTGGGCAGGCTTTCCACCACCCTGCCGGCAAGAGCCCCGCTTGACCTGAAAAACCAGTCGAGAGACTTGTCCTACACCATGCTTATTTTAGAGGATGCGAAAGCGCGAGTCAAAAACATGAGGCCATATTTCAGAAGAAAACACACCTTTCATAGACCTCGCTCTCATAAGGCTCACCGAAGACGCAAGGCCAAACCAAATCAAAGGCCCCGAAAGCAAGGGTCGCTCCGCAAGCTGGCGCTTAGGAAGAGGCCCCCTTACCCAGCCCTGAGGAGCCTCATCAATCCCCCTCCGCGAGAAGCTTTGGCATCCGCAGAAGAACTGAGATCTCCAGAAAACCCTTTCCCAGAACTCCTGCTTTACTCAGAGCCAGAAAACACCACCGTGTCCAAGGCCACGGAGCCACGTGAGATGACCACTGAAGCCGCCACCCCCCGGGACCTTCTCACGGCAGACTCTGCTGGGACCGAAGACCAGCTAATGCCCACTGTCGACCAAACCAACGAAACACAATGGGAATACCATACCGTGGACACTGACTTGCCGCCCAGCACCACCGAAGGCCCCACTCACACCGCGCTCATAGCCCCTGGTGATGAATTTGAAATTCAGCTGAACCAGCAGCTGCGGTCCCTCATCCCCAACAACGACGTGAGGAAGCTCATTTCTCACGTGATCCGGACTTTGAAAATGGACTGCTCTGAGCCCCGTGTCCAACTGGCCTGTGCCAAGCTTATCTCCAGAACAGGCCTCCTGATGAAGCTGCTCAGTGAGCAGCAAGATGTCAGAGTCTCAAAAGCGGATTGGGATACAGACCAGTGGAAAACGGAGAATTATATCAATGAGAGCACAGAAGTCCAGGGTGACCAAAAAGAGCAGGAGGCGAGTGAGGTGAGGCCAAGTCTAGAAACATGGGGCGCAGACTTCCCGTCAGAGTTCAAGGCATGCTTCTGGGGTGCCCAAGCCCCTACTGAATAGCTCATCTTGGCCCATTGACCTTGGCTCAGACAATCACTCCCCACTTTGCTCATTCAGAGAACGGCCCCAGTCTTCCTAATGTAGTCAAGAAGAAAACTGATCACAACATTGTACTCTTTACAAAGCTCTGAACTAGATTTCCCTGGAAGAATTAGATGGTGAGACAGTCGTTAGCTCTGATGCTTTTCATCTCTCTCTCTCTCTCTCTTTTTAGCTCACAAAGCAAGTTCCGGGCTACGGCTACAACAACAAACTCATCTTGGCGATATCTGTGACCGTGGTGGTGATGATTTTGATTATCATTTTCTGTCTCATCGAGGTAAGGATGACAATTAACTCAACTTTCCAAAATACCTCTTCGGTCTCTAACAGAGTCAGAACCCCAAAACCAAACTCCAGTGCTATCTAGATGATTCCGACTCATAGCCACCCTACAGGACAGAGTAGACCTGCTGCGCGCCGCTCCCCGCCATGGTTTCCAAGACTGAACCTACGTGGGACCCGAAAGCTTCGTCTTCCTCTGGATTCAGAATCCACAGCCTGAGCATTCAAGCTACTTCCCCACTTACCACTACTTTGTTCCCCATCGGTCACTGGAACTAAGATTTCCTTTGTTCTCCTACTGCCAACTACATCCCAGGGAGGCTAAGAAGGGACCCCACTCCCAGGACATCTTGCAACCAAGATAACAGGCCATTAGGCTATTTGGGCAAGTAAAATAAGGCTAAATTGACAGATGGCAACATTGTTTTCAACCCCAAAGCATCGCAGTGCTTTGACGTGTTCATCCTCACTTCTTTCTATCACCGATTTCTCTCTTCGTTGGCTGGAATGACCAGATTATGTCCCATCCTGTGGTGCAGTCCATCGGAGGAGAATGGACACCACAAAAAGACATAGATGTTATCTCAGAGAGAGGTTAGACACACCTAAATCCTTCCTTCCTTTCCAGTGTGTAAAGTTGTCTGAGTAGACTCAGTTAAACTCCTGCAGGCACCTCCCTGCATTCGGAGTCAACTGGATGGCAGCAAACAGCAACCAAGCATGGATTCCAATGCCACGCATTGGATGGAGGGCTGAGTTCATGTTATGTGTTTAATCCTCAGAGCAGCCCTCGTTTACAGGTGAGAGAGATCTGCTTAAGGCCCCAGTGTAAAGCAGAACCAAAGTCGCCTGACTACAAAGCCTGGGCCCCTCTTGGCCACTGTTATTCTCTGCCTCCTTCCAGACAGAAGCAGGTGGGAGAACCTGAAACATTGGTGTGCGAGGGAAATAAAGGATGGATACGTGTACCCGAAGAAGATCTAAAATCCTGCCTTTCTTTGGACTCTGGGCGGCTTCCCCGACCTGTTCGTTGTTCTACTCGTTCCAGTCATTCCCAGTTGCTTTATAACATCATTGCTATTTGATCTGGCAAGCGCCAGCCCCCTCATCTGCTGTTCCTACCCGTCAAGCGATTCCACTGTTGCACATTTTCTTGGCCACATGTCACCGGGCCAGCTTCTGTGAAAATACCAACAACGGGGTTGGGATTGGAACGGGCTTGCATTGAATTTGTAGACGAGTTTGAGAACTGATCTCTCTTTCTAAGAACGTGGCCTGTCTCATCCCACACCACCAGCTCTTCTTACTGTGGCGTGGAACTTGAGGGTCTTGCACACCAGCTATGCCTAGTAGGCACGCTACACTTTTCCATTGCGACTATGAAGGGCATTCCCCCCCCCCGCCCCCCACCATCCTCTCTCTCATTGTTAAAGTCGGGGCTTGGGTGAAAGTGTCCAGAGCAAATTCGTTTCCCATTTAGCACTCTAGGCACATTTTGTTCCATGACCCTAGCTGCAACCGCTTCTACGTAAGGACACGCTGCCCACTTCTTCCCCGGGTTCCTGGTTTTCGTTCATCCTTCTTTCTTTCCTGCTCTTTTCTGCTTTGTTTCGGGGCACACGCTGCCCTGCGGGTCTCCCGCGGCTCTTGTTCTGAGGAACATGCTCCTCTCTGCTGTGACTGTACATCTTACAGGCGCATCTGTTGTGTGGCTGGAAAGTGATCTTGGGGAGTGGGTTCCCTTCTAAGCTCGAAGTCTCTATCTGACCAGGAGGTGTGGTCTTTCTTATGATTTTGAGTTTTGTGCTGCATCTTTCTTCTACTCTGCCCAGGATCTGCTATTGTGACCCCGTCTGAGCAGTTGGTCCTGGTCGCTGCGCACGTCTAGGTAGTCTGCAGTCTGTGCACTCCAGCAGTCCTTTGAACTAATGGCTCGTTTGATCTGTGATTTTCTTCCCTCTTTGCTTCGCACAGGAAGAGGCCAATAGTTGTCAACTTGGCGGCCGTTGATAAGCTTTTCAGAACCCCAGTCACTGCTCGCCAAAGTTGGATGGAGAGCTTCGTGTCTGGATTATGTTGTGCCAGTTGACCTAGACGGCCTCTGAGACTGGTCCTAAACCACCAGGCCAATGACTCCCGCAAGGCATTTGATTAAGGCTGCGAAGTTCTCATAACTTTACCCCTGTAGGTAAAGTGTCCAGGACAAATTAGTTTCCGTTCAATAATTTATGCACATTTTGTTTCAGATATGTTCAATCCATAGATATGTTGTTGTGGTTGCTTTAATCGTTTTATTAGGGGTTCATACAACTCTTATCATAATCCATACATACATCAGTTGTGTAAAGCACATTTGTACATTCATTGCCCTCATCATTCTCAAAACATTTGCTCTCCACTGAAGCCCCCGGCATCAGATGTTGTTGTTGTTGTTGTTGTTAGGTGCCCTCAACTTGGTTCCAACTCATAGCAGCTCACGCACAATAGAACAGGACACTGCCCGGTGCTGCCCCATCCTCACAATGACTGTGTTGGAGCCCCTTGTGGCAGCCACTGTGTCAGTACATTTCGTTGAAATGACTTCCTCTTTTTCGTGGCTCCTCACAAGCATGACTTCCTTCTCCAGGGACTGTTCCCTGCTGATGGCAGGTCGGAAGTATGGGAGACATAAGCCTCGTCCTCCTCGCTTCCAGGAAGTATTCTGGCTGTACTTCTTCCCAGACCGCTTTGTCTGTTCTTTTGGCAGTCTGTGGTACATAAATATATGATACACGTGGATCTATTTGGAACACATGCAAACACATATGTAGAAATAGCCTCCACCAGACCTCTCTGTACCCATGCACCATTCATTCCCCCATACCTGTTCAGGTTGCACTGTACCTGTGTATCAAATCATAGATTATTGCTGGTGATCACGGTTATTGCAGTTCCATTACATTTTCTAACTGGTAATCGGTGCTATATAGGAAAGCTCTCATGAGGTGTGGGGTTCTATCCAGCCACCTCACTGAATTCTCGTACCATCTGGCCCTGGACCCATTGCCACCTGGTAGATTCCAACTCATGGTGACCCTAGATACAGAGGAGCACTGACCCACAGGTTTCCAAGACTGTAAGCCTTTGCAGAAGTAGATTGTCACATCATTGCCTTCAGGGCTGCTGCTGGGTGTGAAGCACCCACCTTGGGGGCACCAGCTGTGTGCTGAACTACTGTGCTTCTGGGCTCCTTCCAAATCCTCATGTTCCCAAAACTTTCAGTTGCTGTCTTTTGCTTTTTCGGTTGTAACTCATTTCAGATGCAAATAATGATAGCTTTATCTCTATCTGTCCAATCCCTATACTCTGTTTGGTTTTTCTTATTGCCCGATTAGTATCTTTAGACCAGGTAGGATAGTAGCAGCAGTAGCCCCGTCCTGAGCCCTAACTTCAGAGCAGTGCTCTGTCTGTCTGGTAGATATTTGACAAAAGATATGGATGGTTCCTCTTTTTCTCATTTCTAAGAGTTTTTAATAGGAATCGTGCTGTAGGGGAGCGAAAGCAGTCGATAAGATACATTACATTACACTGTATGCAGAGCTACAGTGAAAGTATAAAAAACTGTTTGGCAGGATGGGTTTCCTGTGTTCAAAGGGGTTAGTGTCTATCAGTGGAGAGAGGACTCTTAGAGGCAAGGCGTGACAAAAGGGCTGGAGATGGGGTGGTTACTCATGGCCCTGCTTTCTCCCCAAACAGATTTATTCTCATAGAACAGTGACCGAGGAAGATAAAGAAGACCACGAAAGGTAAATGTCAGTCTGGCAATGATGAGAACCAAAAAGCTTACTGTGATTAAAGTACTCACGGCAAAACATTCATTGTCTGACAAGGTTAAGAATTTAAGAACGAGAGGGGAGTATAGAGCTCCTTATCAAAGCCCCACAATTCACAGCGAGGACACTGTCAAAGGCAAGAAGAAGATGCCTCCTGGACCCTTTGTCTGACCCAAATTAGCTACCTGAGCTGAGGCTGATGGGGCCACACAGAGGCATCTGCTGTCACCACTGCCCGCAGGGGGGCAAGTGAGGCTGTGCCTGGTTGCTCCGGCCATTGGTGGGCTGCTGGCTGGGCCGTAGATCTTCCTTGAAGGCTCTGGGGAAAGGAGAGGGAAGGCCTCACGGCTTGAATGAGAGGGTGACTTGACTCATGTCATGACTCATCCACGCAGATTGACATGTACATGTCATCTCTAGAGCAAACGTGGAGTCCCCGGGTGGTGGCGACGGTAATGTACTCAGCCACTAACTGAAAAGTTGGAAGTTTGAGACCACCCAGAGACACCCGGAGGAAAAGTCTGGCTATCTACTTCTGACAAGCCGACTACTGACATCCCTTCGGGACATAGTTTGACTCTGACATGCTTGGGGGTGGTGATTGTGAGATGATGCCCCAATGGCAACTTTTTGTTTGTTTATTAGTTGTAACGACACACGTATTATACACACTGCACTCAGATATTTTCTATTCTGTTCAGGTTTGCTTCTTGATGCTAGTCGTGACTTCTGACCTTATTTCACAACCCACTCACTATACCCGTACTATGAACATCCGTCATGCTGGCTTGGCTTAAGAATAGAGTCACTAAAAAAAAAAAAAGAAAAGAGTCACTACAGAGACTCACAGGGCCAGTTCTGTCTTGCCCTATAGGGTCGCAATGAGTCAGCATTGACTTGATGGCAGTGGAAGTGATGGCCCAGGGGCATGATCGGTAATGTTAATTAATACTAACATAAATGGCCATGATGTCTCTAACGCCAACCAGAGACAAATATAAACCATAGATTCATGAATAGATCTTGGGCTTGCACTCAATTCTAGCTCCAATCTAAGAACAATTAGTTCTTATGTCATGGTCCTTAAGAGGTGGTCCCTGAACATGTGGGCCCTATATTAAAGTCTGGTGGAGAAACGACATGGTGCCCAGCTATCAGAAAAAAATAGCATCTGGGGTCTTAAAGGCTTGTCTTCAAAGAAGCAGCCATCTACTCAAGGCATCAACTAAGTCCACACGGAAGAAGCTCATCAGCCTGTGTGATCTAAGATTATAAATAATATAATCCAGATCTAAAGGAGGGAATGGTATCAGAGCTTAAATTGTGAACACCAGTTTTGCAGAAGGAAGCCCAAAATCCATTTGTAGGATCCACACAGGAATTAAGCCTCCAGAGAACCCCCTCTAATCATAGCTAAGGGATGTGAATAGCCCTATTATCAGGCAGAGAGCGTTGAAAGGTGTAGTTAAGTCAAAACGTAATGTGTTATCAGCTAATCTCCCTGCTGACCCATTTGAAAACTGTTTCAATTTAAAAAAAAAAGGTGAAGGAGAAATATATGTGATTAGAACCCTGGTGAATCCTCTCTGACCGTGAAGCAGGGATGAGGCTAGCCTTGCTAACATGCAGAACGCATTGGAAAGTGGAGGTTAAAATGCAGTGCCCTGTCCTTTGGTCTCTTTATGATCCCTTTAAATGTGTTCTAGTTGTTAATATTTTCTGCTTTCTCTTCTATGGAGGTTTCATCTGTTTTACTTTTGTTATTCTTGTTTGTTTGTTGTTCAATGATTCCCTATGTATTAAATCCAGGATAGAGAGATCCATCTATAATAGCTCCTCTCTAATAGAGCCAGTGGACGGGGGACGGCAGGAGAGGGTGAGGGGGAATAGGGAATGAATACAAAGGAAGAAACTTCTGAAACTGGTCGCGGTGACGATTGTACAACTGTTCTTGCTGTGATTGAACTGCGGAATTGTATGCTAGGTGAATTGTATGCCAATAAAAGTGTTAGGGAAAAGGATAAAGCGGTCAGGAAAGTGTCCTCCCTCCACCCTTAAGCCCCTACACACACACTCACACACACACTTCCTGGAGGGTGAAGCGTGTGGCCCCAGATCTGAAGGGAACTGGAGAATGGGGTGTGCCGTGGGTCGCTGCACGAGGACCCTGGACCCAGGAGGGAAGTGAGACTGAACCGTCCGCCTGGCCTCCATGCCAAGCCACGTACAAGAGTCTCTCCAGCCACACCGGAGGTGCCTGTGAGCAGAGGCAAAGACCTCCCGGAATGCAGTATGTTTGGAGTAGTTCTCCAGCCCCCAGGCTGGGGTGGTGGTGGTGTGTGTGTGCTAGTGGAAACCATGGCTGGAGGGAACGTGGGAATCCCGCTAAGACCAGAGATGGGCGCTCTCAGAGGCCCGGGAAGTGACATGTAGTACTAACTGTCTTGTGTGTGTGTGTTTCTCCCCAAGGGGCTTTTTCCGAAATCTGCTGCATAGGAAATGCAAATCAGATGGAAAACATCAGGTGCATTTGGGGCAGGGCCAGTGCCAGGGTGGGAGAAGACGGGGGTGGGGGGGCGGTGGGGGTGGTAGGGGGTGAAGCAGAGTTCACCATTCTCTCCTCTCTTTCCTAGGAGGGAGGCTTTTTTTGGAGAAGGCGGCCACTTTGGCTCCGGGATATGTACAGACCACTCAATGCCACCCGCAAGAAAAACATGGCACAGAAGCTACACGACAAGGACTCCTCCGACGAGGATGAGATTTTCAACAAGGACACAGGGTAAATGGCCGGGGGCGATGCCAGCTTCTTGCCTACAAGGAAGAGATATCAAAAGGGGGACTATGTAGAACAGAATCCCAAATTCCCCTGGAGTCCAGACATTCTGGAGCCACCAAGGCTGGAGGAACAATTGTCCCGAGATAATCTCTAAACCTGAGTCCAAAATAGCCCCCGAGCTCTTCTTCCAACCAAACAGTCGTTCAGCTCAACTAGTACAGAGTGTCTGTGGAGCCTCTGCTCTTTAAAGATCTGTGTAGAGTAGGGCAAAGCAGACAACAGGAACCACAAAGGTTATGAGTATGGAACAGCTCAGGGGAGGGGGAGGAAAAATAGCTGTACAACTCAAAGAACGAACGTAATCAGTGCCACTGAAGTATAGCCGTGGATGTTTGACTGGGCGTGTGTTTTGCTGTGTATATGCTCATAAAAATAACAAAGCAAAGGCACTCTTAATAGAACAAGGGGGTCATTAGAAAGGTGTCATTTACTCTGAGGCTCAGGAATAAGAGTCACTGTCGTTTTTCTCATCCTAGGGAGCTGTCTGAAGTTGTGACAGAGAAAGGTGAGCCTGGAGCGTCTACTCTGGAGTCCGAGGTCCCCGAAGAAAGTGAAGCTGGAACCTGAAGAGTGAATCCCCTCTTGGCTCAGGCCGCCTGCAAATTTTATTTTCTGATACTGGCTTCTCAACACTGCTTGTAAAATACCTTATTTTTTTCAGGTTAAAAATATATAAAGTCTATAGCCCGTTCTAGCCATCTGGTAAGGAATTAAAATGTAATACAGGTACGTGTCGCTTCACAATAAGTTCTGTGAGCTAGAGCATCACGTGATTTGGATGTTGGGCAAGCACTGTTTTAAAAGAGTGTGAGAGTCTGCTTCCAGTTGTCCTATTGGCAGCTGCTGGGGCTGCAGGCAGAGGCCTGAGGGGGGAGAGAGGGAGCAGAGCCCCACCCCTTCTCCCACAGAATGGGCCCCCTGCCCCCCACATACACCCCTTGCCCAGTCTCCACTGTCTCGCCTTTCTGGATCCTGCCCATGGCCCAGTACTACTGAGGGATGGGGTTTTTCAAACCGTTAGTGGGTAAATAATTAGCCCAAAGAGCTGTTCTCCTTCAAGACAAAACAAAACACAACTTACAGGACCGTGGATGTAGATGCAGTTGGATGTTGTACAAAAGGACCTTCAACTTTGTGGTAGTTACATAATCTGGTGTCAATTTGGGACTTGAGAGGATTAAGAGTAAAGG